CATGATGATGCTCCCGACCGCTACCTCGTGAGGACAGGCCCACTTCATCCATCAGACGCTTATAGCCTTGGCTTGGGGAAGCTTTGAGCTTTGTGAGGACCTTGGACACGTTTTTCACAACCTCAGTCCGCATAGACTCGTCAAAGAATGGGGTGGTCAAGACCTTGAAGATCAGAGTCGCACCAGATGTCTGGTCGCTCAGGATCTTCTCCAAAACTTCATCGCCGGGACTGAAGAAGAGCGCCTTCAGAACAATGTCTCGAGCATCCGGCTCGTTGCGCTGGTTGATCACCTTGAGAACGGTCAGGTAGGCAACCTTGTGGGTGCAGAGGTGAACAAGGTGAGGCACAAGTCTCGGGGCCAACACCGTTCGGCGGCGAGGGAATGTGCACGTATCAAGGAACCAAGTGAGCAAAAGAGCTCCGTTTGCATTAGTAGCCAACTGCACGCTGTGGAGAGCGATAGCAGATGCAAGCATCCGCTGCTGATCCTTGGTGGCATGGTGGCTTTCGAGACAAGCCCGCATCGCTCGGGCGCCGAAACGTCCCTGGGCGATTTCCCACATTCGGCTGAGCATGGACTCGAAGATGAAGCTATTGAAGGGGCTGGCAAATCGCAGGCAGCACTGCAAGACATAGTTTCCATACTGATCCAAGAAAAGAGGAACAGTATAAGGGCGGAGAGCATCAACAATTAACTGCATCTGTCCAGGAGTCTTCGCGACATCGATGATCTTCTGCGCAGCCCAAGTTCCATTCTTGTGAACACCGATTTCAGACAGATGGGGTGCAATGTGAGACAGCATCTGCTCCTTGGTGGATTCAGAGCAGAACTCGAACAGTTTCTGAACCACGGTGTTGCCCAAATAATCGGACGCTAGCTCTGCAACCTCAGGAAGCATGGCCTCAGCAGTCTCCTCAATTTCTTGGATCGAGCATGCACCATTGTCAATGCGCTTGCGGATGTCACGGAGACGAGGGGCGTCAAACATCCGGGACTGGCTCGTTTCCTGGACCGAGGGGATTTCATCCTCGAAAGCCTTGAACGCGATGGAAGTCTGGATGCTTGCCGTGATATTCTTCAGATCGTCCTCACTGGCGCCGAATTCTTGCACAATTTGCACCATCTCAGGCAACAGATCAGCCAGAGCGGGAATCTGAGGGATAACATTAGTATCCGCGCGATCCGGCCCATCTGCCGCTGCAGTATTTGACCTGAAGTTCGGGTCAGGAGTGGGAGATGACTGGGTGCCGTTTGCACCAGGAGTACCGGTGGCCGATGCACCAGGAACCTTGGCGTAACCAATTCTAACGGGGCCTGCGCCTGGGAAAATTTCCTTCCCATTGAGCAGCGATTTGGCTTGCACGGCGCTGTCAAGGCGGTCGAAGTTGACAAACCCGCAGTTCTTATGAGTGAGAACACGGGTAGACTCGATCTTTCCATACATACCAAAGATGGCCTCCAGAGACGTGACAGTGGTGGACACGGGAATGCTACCAATCCAAAGTGCCCGCGTAGGCCCATCCTGGTTGTTCTCATCAGCCATCTCGCCAGCCGGTCGGCCACCCATGGCGGGAATACCGTTACCGCTGAGATGCATCAGCTGAACTGCCTCGGATAATTCGTCATATTCACCGTTCTCGGGAATCTGCAGATCAGCAGCACTGAAACTGTTGTCGAGGCGGGAAGGTGTAGCAAGGTAGTTGCGGATGGATGATCGCTGGGGAGGTGCCTCCAAAATGCCAGCAGTTCGTGCCCGGGGTCGGCTGACGGAGGCATGGCTGGCAAAAGCTTGGACCGCGAGATTATGCTGGTGGATCTGGGCCTGTGTGGCGGCAAGTTGCGCGGCGGTCGCGGCGGCGGTCGGCGTCATAGTACCCGAGGGAAGTTGGGAGTAGCGGTTCTCGTATTCAAGATCCTCGTCATCGGCGTACTTTTCCTTGGCATTGACAGAGTATGATCGGAATCGATTATTGCTCTTCATCATCGCCAACTCAGCCAAGAGTGGCGGCAGCGCAGAAGCTTGCTGCTGCTGCTGTTGCATCAAAGCTTCCATAGAGGGACGTCCATAAGACGCCATTCCGTGTTGCGGGGTCTCAGCGAGCCCCAGATAATCCAAAGTCTTCACATCTGTATCCGCGAGTCCATCCCTCGAGAAAGACGAGTGGCTAGGCGAAGTCGGCCCTTCCGAAGATCGAATACTAGTTAAAGTTGTAGCTCTCTCCCGACCCGTCGACCAGTTGGTTGAAAACAGTGATGGGCCGAAGGGACCGCCACCTCCCAAGAAGTTGCTTTTTTGCGGCATCGAGCCAGCTCGAAGGCGAGATAGCGATACCGGGTTGGGCACACCAGTCGAACTCGCGATAGAACTCGTATCTATCCCGGAAACGCCGGGAGGTCTAAACGGACTAGTTGAGGGTGTCGGTCGTGAAGTCTGTGGCATGTAAGACTGCTGAAAATCCATCTCATTCAGTGTGCCCATCGGAGGAAAACGAGATGGAACCGTTCCAGCGCGAGCTCGGCGACCAGGGCTGTCCATGGCGCCATTGCTGGTAGGAATCAAATCTGGAAAACTATCTTGACTCGGCGATTCGGGAATATTCTCGCGAAGCGGGGTTGAATGGCCGCTGGTAGGGGGTCCCCAAATACTAGGAGAAAGGCCTTCTTGAGCTTGAATTTCACGAGCTCTGCTTGAACAGTCAAAGTGTCAGCCAATTGTCGCGGTGTCTGTTATATCCCACATGAAGTAAAGAAGCAAACCTACCGCTTCGAGTACAGACGTGATGCCAAATCATGAGAAGGGGAGCCAGCCCCGGGCCTCAAACTTCCAATGGACCCCGAAGAAGGCCCGAAGGACATTCTTGAGTTCCCAGACCCGGCCACATCACTAGGAGAGCTGCGCCCCGTCGAGGTACCCGACATGGGTTGGGTGGTTGGGATGTAATTGAAATTCATCTGACCGTCGGCCGCGAAACCGGCAAATTATGGATTATCACTTTATACCTTCAGCAAGGCAGGGCCCGAATCCCTTCCAAATATGACCTCCGCGCGAATGCCAAAATACAGCAAGGTCGGAAGTTAAATGTAGCTTCGTTCAATAGTGTGGGATAGGAGTCATGGGATAAGGATAGATTGAAGGATCGAGGGCACACTGGAAACAGTCGAAATTAGATGGTGTTCGAAATATGTGTGTTGCTATTGGGGGTCGCAAAGTGGGAGGGGTCGAAAAGCAATTCCAAAAAGTCGAGAGGAATCGTTGGGATGTTTGCGTACCGAGACTGATGCTTTCCAAATCCAAGCACCACGATGCAGTGTCGAGGGTCTTTGATGATAATCTCACCGTTTGTTCGGGTTGTATGACAATCTGCGGGTGTCCCAAAGCAATCGAGTCGAGCTAAGAAAAAAGAGAAAAGTCCTTTTCTGTCGTCAAAGGCTCAAAAACACGGCGAAGTTCACAAAGATGGTCTGGCACAAAGTGCGTCAAGTGAGAAATAAAGATGGAAAGGATGATCCGGGTCCAAAGGGATCGAGGTGGCTGGAAATTGAGTTAGTGTTGCGCTCCAAAAGTGTCATCAACACTAACCGAAAGTCGAATTCACCCTAAGAATGCAGAAAGCAAAAGAAGAAAAAAGGAGAAGTGAGGAAGAAGTCAAAGGGAGGATGAGAAGGGGAGAGGAAAGGAAGGAGAAGAGATGTTGGGGAGCTGGCCGGATGCCCGAGGAAGATGGCTGTGGTTGGTGGAGGGCCCTCCTTCAGCTTCACCCACAATTCGATTGATGATTCGGATGAATTTGGTTGAAAATACGAAATCTGATTGAATGGAATGGAATTGGATTGATTTAGTCTATGACACTCTAGGTGGTTTGATTTTCTATCTAGTATTGGTACATCCAAGGTGCATTAGTACTAGACAGGCATCTATAAAGTACTTACTTCCTGCACGTCTGTACATTCAACGTCGAAATAACCAAACGGGAACAAAAATATAAGGAATCGGCAATTCCTCCAAGCGTCTGGCAATGGCACGGTCCATGACATTAATTTAGAAGACTCCATTCTGGCTGAACATGGTGAGATATCAACAAATCTAAAAAGGTATACGTTTAGTACAAATACAAGGCCCTTACAACCCCATGCCCTCCAAATGTCCAATTCAAGGTTTTCTTTCGGAAGAAAAGGGCTCATGGCATAAGCAAGAAAAAGCAGACAGGAGTGGAAACGAAAAAGGCCCCGCCTTCCGGTGCGTCATGTCTCGACGCTTGAATCCGTGACAGGATACATATGAGACTCATGGCGAATACGAAGATATCCCTGGAGGATGAGATGCAACTAGTCATGTAAGGAGAACTGACTGGGGTTTGAAACCAAAGGCTGTGTTTTGGTTGCAAGGGATATGGATCAGGTACGTGTCCCCGTCCTTGTTCCTTGCCAGAGGCGTCAGCTGGGGCCCTCTGGGGTTGGTCATGGGTCGTGGTGGCTGTGTTGGAGACGTAAATAGACTAGGCTTTAGCTATCTGTCGAGCCTTGAAGAATGCTCTCCGGATCTTCAAGGTGTTTGCCAAGCTTTCAGAAGCATTCGGTACGGTTGAACAGGGTGGCTCATCGTAGTACATAATAGGTAGATCATCACTTCTAGATAAAAGCTGAGTAGTATCAGTCACTGTGCAATGGAGGTAGGACCAAATAACAATCAGAGAAATCTTGTGTAGTTGCTTCAAAGTCGTGTAAACACGTTAGTAAAGACCATTGGTCGGATCATTTTTACTAGCCTGAGGCACCAACTTTTCTTTCGCGCCACTCTCCTTGCCAGCCCGCAACGGGATCTTCCCATCACTTCCACAGCTCATTTAATTGTGTGGCAGAATCCAAATTCTATATGCTTTAATTTTTTCTCATTTATGCTGATCATTGAAACGCAAAGCATAGTTTGTCGCGCGCGCGTCCCCTCTCGCGTCTGATGCTTAATCGTCCGTTCTAAGGCACCTGCCACCAGTAACACCATGGCCGACATTATGGAAGAAGACCCATCGTCTGCGGTCCAGTCTTCGGAGGGAGAGGAGATGCCCGTGGAGTCATTGGTCAGAGGACGCGCGAAACGAAGCACCGCAGGACTGCACATGTCGGCCCTCCTTGAAGCCGCTGCCGATGATGACTTGTCGCTTCTATTTGAGGAAGTCGAAGACGATAATGAGTTTGCGGATGTGGCCGACCCCGACGCAGAGGACGAGTTGCTTGAATCGTCGGACGAGGATGAAGACCAAGGACCGAACGCGCAGAACGACTACGAGGGCGAACAGAAACTACAAAAAGACGAACGCAAGAAGCGCAGAGCCCAGAATGACCTCCGATTTCAGACCTTGCGCAAACGAGTCAAGATTGATCCGACCGCTCCGTCCACCATGTCCGCCGCTCCTCGTCCGAAGAAAAAGTCAGAGCGCATCTCGTGGATTCCCACTGTGGAGGATGGGCCTACTCGGCAATCATCACGTCGACAGACCATGGTCAACAAGGAGCTTACGCATGCCCGTCTGAAGGACAGCCAGGAGAAACGGGTCCGCATCATCGCTACAATGAAGGAGGCAGAAAAGCGAAAGGCCCATTTGAAACCGAAGCAGATGACCCAGGAAGACCATCTTGCGGAGGCAGCAAGGGTGGAGCGGCTCAATAGCAAAAGTCTCAACCGCTGGGAGCTTTCGGAAAAAAGAAAAGCGGACGAAAGACGAGCGAGGATTGAAGCACTACAAAATCGTCGCCTTGACGGTCCGGTGATTTCCTACTGGAGTGGTGTGGCTACATGGACGAACGGGCGTCTCACCCGAGTGGGCAAAATCGACATCAGACCAAAGGTAGATAAAGATGAACTGAGGAAGAAAAAGAAAGAGAAGGAAGATAAAGAGAAGGCTGCGGCAGAGTTGAAGGCCTTGGGGTCAACCACACGCACATCACAACCACCACACTTCCATGTAGTTGTTGGTCCACCAAAATCTCTATCTCCTTCGACGTCCACCGTGGACCAACCGACTGGAAACAAGCCACCCGAGAATGCTACACCGACTGCAGAGAATACAGACACTGCAGAGAATACAAACACCCCCGTAGTGTCCGGGGCGAACGCCGGCCAACCAGATGGAAACCCAGAGACGAAGACAATCATGGAAACTCCCACCGAGCAGGGCAAGGACAATGCCGTGGAAAAAGCTCCAGGCGTTGACGCAAATACATCAGTACCTCCTGAGCAAGATCAATCCATCACAGCTGAAGGGCAATCCTCGGAGTCCAAGAATTATGGGAGATTGAGGTTTGCTGTGGAAATTCCAGCGTCTCGTCATACATCGATTTCTGCGGATAATGGCTCTATTCAAAAATCGCCTGATGTACCCACCAAAACCGAGGATGCTATGGATATTGATTCTCCAGTGGCTGCAGCGGCTGCAGATTCTACGAAAAATCAAAAAGTTCTAGAATCAACGGACCAAACAAGCTTGGCCACTCCGCACGTTGCTGCCCAACCGACTTCTGCAGAGCCTATAGCACATGCAGCTGGGACGACTGTGCCAGAACCACCGCCATTGGATGGGTCTCGGCCAGTTGAATCGGCCACGGCTGTTAGCTCTGAAATCTCACTGGCCCCTCAAGCCTTGCCGGCTCCTGCAGCCACCAGTCAAGCCACGGTGCCCGAAAACGCCATAGTCCGGAGCCTAAACCAACCATCCACATTACCGTCCGAATCACAATTATCAAATGGATTGGTGAAGGAACCAGCACCAGAGATTCCAGAACCCCCTCCAGTGATTGAGCAGACGGGACGCTGTCTTACGATCTTGGAAAACTTCGATTATGCGACCGCCAACAATCGCAAATACAGCATGTACTTCAACGCCAAAAAGCTCGGCCGTTTGACAAGTATGTATCATTTTGAAATTTTAAAGAATCAGGCTAACCCTACATAATAGAAATCTCGTCATCGCTTTGCGTCATCACTTCATTGCCTTCGCGTTACCGCGATCCAGAGACCGCTCTCCCTTACGCCAATTCATATGCATATAGCCAAATCCGCCGTATGCTATCGGAAGGGTATATTTGGAGCTCGATGCTGGGATGCTTTGTCGGGCCGGCCGAGGCAGCCCGTGGCGTACCGGAGCGGTTTACAGGCAAGCCGGGACCAGGTACAGTGAAACTGACCGATGAGGGTCAGGCCGAGACACCAGGGAATGCACTCACCGAGGTTCCTTCGACACCCACGCCGGCGGCATCCCGAGCAGCACCTCCAAAGGAAATGGAGATTGACAAAGCATGAGCGATTATTTGTACGATATTTAGTTAGATACCCAGATAGAATCCAGCACCGAACCCAAAGTGGACGTCAGCATCACCTCTTCTCCACGTCGCATAAATCGGCTTTGTCTAAGACTCAAGCAGGCTTTGCAGTTATGATGTATTCATTGTTGACAGATGTCACCGGCCCCACCGATAAAAATCAATCCGAGCTTGCCCTGTGATATTTATATCCCGATATCGCCTATCCAAGGAACGAAATCGGTACCCGGCGGAAAGCAAACGGGAAAAGAGGAAAAACGATCACAAACAAAAGGCTAAATGGGGTAGTCCTCGGGGCATTTTTCTCGAAAGAAAGCCCCGGTTTTCCCCATAGACCCGAAACACGCAAGACGGAAGATCGACGATTAGCACTTCTACTTGCTCAGGTGAGTGTGGCCTATAATGATAGTCCCACCACTACCCCCCTCTGACGAGGGCTAGTGACGCTTGTCATAGGCAGATGTGTTAGTGTGTGTGGCACTTGCATACTACCCCCATAGTGATTTTCGATTTCGATCCGTCGATCTATTTTCGTTGTCGCCGTAGCCGGCCGTTATTCTGTACGGAGTATTATCTGAAGTATTTTGTAATAATCAACTATAACAAGCTGTAGTTGCCTATGTGAATGTGATGATGTATTTCACACCCACCTGTTCACGCCATTTGGGTCTGTTCATATGAATCCTTGAACTCGTCGAGGCATTTATGGCGTCATTTAGAATGTGGTTCTTCCATGGTATACGTCTTGGTATACAATGCATGCAAGTATGCAAGTATCAACTTGTACGGACTAGATACAATACTAGTATACCGATTGTGAAGAATGGTGTCAATCTACCGATCACGCCAGATCCGACCCCCTCCGGAGATATGGTCCCTGCGCCACTGCATTGCATATACTTGGAAGTCGACATCGCGAGGTCTAACTGACAATCTGTCCGTACCTAACGAAGCGAATAGGTGGTTCAGAACGACGACAGTTAGATCCAGAGAAACAGAGCAAGGCCCTTCCATTAAGAATAATATAAGGGCCAGCTAACTAATTATAGCTGGAGTCAGGGCAGGGCTCGTCACCAGTGACTCAGCTGGTCTAGATTGATTGCGTGTCGGGAGGGGGGCATGCACGGGCAAGGACCCGGGGAGTACCCGAGAAGTACCCGGCAAGTACTGTTTAGCGCGCAGATACCGGCGGAGGCTGTCGGAAGTGACTTACCCGGTACATCACCCCAAGGGTTTCTCGTCCCAAGAGTCTAGACGTGATCGTCTCATCCTACCAGAACAGCACGTTTTTCCGCTTCGTCTGTTTCTCTTCAGGTGTTCCTCCACTTTGTATTTATATTCTTTCGTTTCCTCTTTTCGATTCCTGTGTCACCCAATTCCCCTTTCTCTCTGGTATTGCAACTATACAACATAGACCTCCGTTATAGACATCCTTGGTATTTGGTATGTTTCTTATCTCGGCCTTATCTCCCCCCCCCACTCACTGGCTAAAGATAGTCGGCGGTTGCATCGCAAGTGTGTCAGATGGCTAACACGACCTTATCAGCCTGGGATTCTCGTCAACCCCACGTTTCTCAATATACATACTCCGGTGTTTCTCCATTTTCCCAAATCCCCATTTGTATTCCCAATTGCACCCGTCTCGGCACATTCCAGTTGGATTCAAGACTTCGCACACAAATCCCTCAGTCTGTGCTCCCCCCCAGGGGCCCTTGTGCTCCACACTTGCTCCAGTCTCGGCAATAGAGTCTTTTCGATAAGATAGTGAGGCATTTGAGCCTACACCGCTATGACTCAATCAGCCCCCTTCCACCGCCGCTCCCCTTCCTCTCCTCATGTTTCCAAGTCCAAGTCTACTCGTCCAGCTTTACATCGACGAGGGACCTCAGGTGCCACCGTCACATTTTCCAAATTGGGCTCAGGACAAAAGGGAGCGAGCAAGTCGACGTCTGCGGACGACACTGAATTCGATATGGCTAGCTTCTTGAACTTTTGGTATGTGACCCCTAAGCCCTTATCTTTGAATCCTGCCGGGATTATTTCCTCACATGCCTGTTGCCGTCATCTGTGTTCCTTACACCGGTCTTTCGTGGACATAAAAGCTGACCCAATTCCAGCGCCATGTGTGAAAACCAAATCACTACCCCCAACAACAGTTTGTTATATTGTAGCGAAAGGTATGTGGTAACCCTCGGCCTATATTTAGAGCCATCCTATCCTGCCTTCCCCTTTGTTTGTTTGGGACCTGCATCATATCTTGGCACTCGAATACTTATTTATTTCATAGTTGCCGCCGCAAAGACTCTTGCAAACCACTCTCAGCATCAGTACCTTCCATGTCATCAATGTCTTCCACCACTACACCACCTACATCTCCTTCCCTCTCTCCACGCACTATCGTGGCCCCAATGACCCCTACCAGGGTGCCAAGCAACCGAATCCCAGCCATGCGGATACACAGCCACGTGCATGATGCCAAGTCAGATCTTGACCCCACCGAATGGAAGCCCGTATTAGAGCGGAGCGCCTCGTCCCTGGCATCCTCCGAGGCCTGGAACTATCTCTCCCAGTTCCACGGCGGCAACGAGCCCATGCTCCGGCCCTCCGTCCAACGCAGCAGCTCCAGCCTTCCCGCTCTGGCCCACAGCCACAGTCACGTGCCCAGCCTGACAAACACCCCGTCCACCGTGGCGTCGTCCTACAGCAGCACCGCCTCTGACTACATGGGCAGCATGTACGAGGCCCGCCCGCTGCCCCCGCGCCACAACCCGTACTTTTCCGGTACGAGCGTGACCAAGGGCGTCGAGCTAGTTGTCCCGCACATCGTCTCTGCGCACGAGGACGTCGGCCCCATCCTCTCGGACAGTGGCTCTATCCTCCCTGCCAGCAGTGCTGTGTGGGGAGATATCTCGTACGAAAAACGCTCTGCTCCTATCTGCATGGCGCGGGGTATTGGCGGCCGGCCCGTCGAGACCTGCGTGAAGAATTGAACAAAAATACATACACTGTTTTCGGTCATGAAATGGAGCTTATTGCTCCTTTTTCCTTTGTTCTCTTTCGGTTTATTTGCCCCATGCCTATCCTCTTTATCCTTTTATTCAAATTCCGAGTCCGAGCGAGCTGTGCCTCTTCAGCGTGGAAAACGATATGATATCATGGATTTGCTCTTTATTTATTCCATACTCCCTACCCACGAATATAGATTTATTAATGCGGATATCTCTGGTATCTAGACCAAATGGACCGTTTGGCGTATCTTCATCATTCATCTCTACTGATTCGTAAATTAAGCAATGTTAGTCTGGTTCTTTAATCAAGCTTATTTATTTGTGGACCTACCAAGATCTAGTGCTGATCTGTTGTATCGTATAAATGTGTAATGTACAGATTTGTTTCAGGATGATGGGTCTGCCGAAATTAGGGCAAGTCAATCTCCACCGACGATACTGATACTTTTGTCTCGGCTACTCTTACTTCAGTCAAAAAAAAAACATAGAAAAGAAATAAACTATTCTCAGCAAGGCAGAAGATACAGGTAGACTAGAAACACTCAATCGAAACAGACCCTCAACACCCATCCCATCCGTCTCCCATAAAAACACCAAACAACCCCATCTCATAAAAAGAATCCAATATCCAATCCAAATCTAGAAATCGGAAGTAATACAGCACATGTAGCACCCCTTAGCCGGCTTATAGATAGCTAAAGCCTGTAATAAAAGCATTAGCAACTTATACACCCACATAACCAAGATATATATATCCATCTATCCTATACTGGGAAAGAAAAGAAAAACTCACATAAGGCTTCGCACACTGCGCATCCCCCTCATCCTCAAAGCACCGCCCAGAACAGAACGCATTGCCCTCATCCTTCCCATAATTCGCGTTGACGAAGAGCGGAGCAGGCGCGACCTGGGAACCAGGTGCTAGCGGGTTAATCGGAGCCACGCCGCCTGATGCGCCGGGCGAGACATCGTTGTCGTTGTCGTCGGCGCCACGGAAGGAGGGTGCATTGTCTCGGGACTCGGCGTCTGAACCCGAGCTTGGGTGGTTGTAGGCATGTCCATATCCGTGGGCTGGGGCGTGGACAGTGGGTGTTTGCGAAGGGCGCACTAGGAATGTGCTATGGATTCGAGGGGTTGGGGATGGGGATGGGGTTGGGGTGGGAAGGCTTGGGATGTTATCATAGTCGTAGTCGTCGTAGTCGTAGTTGTCGTAGTTGTCGATTTCTTTGTTTGTGTTCTGGACGTAGTGTGGGTGTCTGTTGATGGGTTTGGGGTATTTCAATCCCGCTGGGCTTGGGATGAATTGGTTGCCGAATTGCGCTGAAGCGAGAGAGGCGCTGAGGAGGAGGAGGATGGGAAGATGCATGTTTGGATTGAATTGGTTTTCCTTGCTGTTTGTTTTCCTCTTGTCTGTTTTGATTTGTATAGATGGCGGCTGGTCGTCGGTTGTCGTTAGTTGTCGGTTGTCGTTGTCGAGATGTTTTGTTGGAGGCTTATCATCAACGAGGGATCAGCCTGGTTATTAGTATTTAACGCGTACATTAGGAATGGAGGGTTGTGGTTAGGTGTCGCGTTAGGGGCATTTTCGGGGGCTGTGGAATGTGGTATTTGTATACATTGGCATGTACATAACTCCGTATGACACGAGATGGGATTTTCGAATTCATTGGGTCTATATAGCTATAGTCGACTGGTATTCGTCTGATTAGAGAGGTATGAGCTTGGGCTTATTATACCGAATTCGTAGAAGTAGATTGTCGAATCTCCAGGTCATCTGCCTGTGTCATGTTCACGTAAGGATTTACGTAAGGCTTCCAAGTATCCTGCTATTATGAGCCACTGACTCGTTCTACATCGATGTACCTTAGGATGCGAGTTAAGAATAGTTTCCTCTATTTTTTGTAAATGGATATCTGCTAGTCGGCCCTGGAAAATGAACCTCCCCTTGATCGAGCCGTGGATGACCTCATGAATAAGAATCACTGTACCTGCAAAGAAACGAGTTACCAACTCTACTTAGCAGGTTTCTACTTGTCACGGGTGGCTGAACTAAGAACATTTGCCACCGCATGCATCCCTATCAAGGATTGACGACTCTTTGGAAATTCACAGCAACGGTTCCTACACCAAGGGCAATATCAAGAACATTGCTCGTTATTCTACTGTTGAGGTTCTAGCGACTGCATTGGTGGTCAAAAGTGAGATGTGGGCCCCAACCAAGATCCGCCCGATCACAGATCATAGGCATTCTCTCTAGGCTTCACATCCACGAGAACTTTGAACAAATGCTAACATATTCGCATATTGGCGGAGCAGGGTCCGAATTCCGAGTTGCTCGACTTTACCGGATCACTGTACATTGTAAAACGCAAGTCTGACGCTTGTTTCAATGTTGGCGCCGGTGGAGCCCCCCAATAACCTCGCCTGGAACTATTTTCCTCAGCATGATGCTAGAGATGTAGCTCAGAGTTTGCTGGTCTTTTTTTTTTCGAAAGGAGGCTGGTCAGAGATCGACTTCAGATTCATCATTGCACTGTCCATCTCTTGTTCCTGTAGACGGAGAGAGACCGAGACCATCTCACTTCCTCTCTCACTCCCTCTTACTCCTTCACACGAATCTCAGATCTCTGCCCAGTTTTCTGAAAAAAAAAAAAGCCCGTAACTAACCCATGCCCATTGTGGGAGATGATGAAAGAAGGTGACAGACAGAGGTTTCCGGCCACCCGAAACGACAACAGTAGGACGACACCACACCGAATCGATCCCCCGTGCCCGTGACCAGACTTCATCCAACGCGATCTCGATTCCAATCTTTTTCTATACGAAAATGACAACATCCATATCCCCATCCTCGATCACGGCAATGCCGTAACATACCCGTTCCTTACTGATCGCAACCCTGACTCGCACATCATCAGACCAGACGATCGGTTCCATCTATGGCTTAAGTTGTTGTGGCTGGGAGCTAAATCCACCAACACCAACACCAACATGAAATCAAATCAAATCTACCCACTGGTCAGGGGCGATGGAGAGACGCCGCACGTGAACAGCCGTGTTTGGAATCTAGCTAAACTTCTCTGCAGAGGGGACTCGGTTTGAGGCTATGTGCGCATGCATGCTCCCGTCTTGGTCGGGTTTGGAATCCTAGGTGCCAGGGTCTTGGGCTGGATGGTAATGGTAACGGCAACGTTTGGGGCTGGGATTGTATTTGGATCCTTGGGTTTGGACTATATTCTGGGAGATCCTATATGTCGAAGACTGCTCATGGGTGGACTTGACTGTACGTGTGTTCAGAGAGTATCCAAGGTCCCGGACTTGATGTTGTTGGGAGCTGTGGTGTGGAGTGTCAGTGGGCATCAGTTTGAAGAGTCTTGCGGGATATGGCAGGCCTAGGTTGGCATCCGTGTTTTCCGGGACAAGTCGAATCTACATAGGTACTCTGTACTCTGTACCTGGGTACGTAACATAAGAAATAGAATCATTTTTAATTCATTTCAAGGAAAATCTTATTCGTCCATTGTAGCACCCATGCCACATTCCTGCACCTATCGTGATCATGCTTTATAACTTTTTTGACATATCTAAGGAGTGCAACGGCCGGTGTACCGGGGATACAGCGAGCAGTCACGGACGGTATAACGAGCGCACAGCCAGGCCAAGAAACGCTCGAGACCGAGTCCGTAGCCACCGTGAGGGGAGGTACCATACCTATTGTTCAATGTTAGTGTGGAGATAAATAATAAAAATGCGAGATATCACTTACTTGCGCTGGTCAGTGTACCAGTAGTAAGGGGAGGGATCCATGCCCTCGTGCTTGTAGGCAGCCATCAGCTCATCCCAGTTGTCCATCCTCATACTACCTCCGACAATCTCACCGACACCGGGCATGAGCACGTCGACACTCTCGGTGACACGGCGGTCCTCGGGGTCCTTCTTCATGTAGAAGGCCTTGATATCGGCGGGGAAGTGGGTCAGGAAGATGGGCTGGTTGATGATATCAGTCATGCGACGCTCCGCAGCCTCGGCAATATCATCACCGAACTTGTGGGGCTGGCCCTCCTCGTTGGGGATTTCGTGCTCGATCAGCCACTGGATAGCATCGTCGTACTTCATGCGGCGGAACGGACGGGACGGGACCTTGAAGTCCGGGTTGAGCTGCTTGATATACCCGGCGATCTCGGGCTCCGCCAGAGTGTAGTCAATCACGCGGCAGATCACATCCTCGAGGTGGTCGAGCAGATCAGTGAAGGTGATGAAGTCCAACTCGGCTTCGATGTGCGTGTACTCCGACAGGTGGCGGCGGGTCAACGACTTCTCGGCACGGAAAGACGGGCACACACAGTATACATCTCCCAGGGAGGGGAGACAGGTCTCCAGGTACAGCTGCGAGGATTGGGTCAGGTAGGCGTTCTCGCCGTAGTAGTCGAATCCGAACAAAGTGCTGCCGCCCTCGACCTGGGTCTGCACCATGGCGGGAGGGGTCACCTCCAGCATGCGGTTCTCCTCGAAAGCCTTGCGGAAGGCACGTAGGGTAGCGGCGCGCACCTTCATCACGGAGGAAGAGGTCTCGCCGCGCAGCACCAAGTGGCGGTTGTCGTAGAGAGTCTGCGGGTCAGCGTCCGGCGCCACACGCGTGGTAATGGCCTCCTTGTCACCAGCGGCCTTGCCGATGATCTCGAAGAAGTCGGCGTGCAGCTCGCGGTCGTTGGGCGCATGCTGCTTGGGGGGCACGGCGCGCATCTCACCGTGGATGGACATGGAGGTTTCGAGGGTGAGGGTCATGATGTCGTAGGTCTTGACCAGGTCACCGGTCAGGACGCACTGCAGGTATCCATAGCCGTCGGTGAGAGTGATGAAAACGACATCCTTCTGGGCGCGGGCACGGTGAACTCGGCCCAGAACGCGGACTCGGGTGCCGGGCTCATCGGACTCGGCGGTGCGCAGCTTGACGATGGCCGGGTCGGTGACGTCCAGACGAATGCGCACGGGCTTGGGCAGCGAGGTGTCCTCCTTGATCACGACCTTCTTGGCGTCCTCAAGGACCTTCTGGCGCTTGTCGGCCTCGGCCTTCTCGCGGATGGCCAATTCGTGTTCCTTGGCGGCCTTCTTCTTGCGCTGCTCCCAGAGGTTGTTGGCCTTCTTCATGGCCGACTTGGTAGCGGGCTTCCACTCCAATTTGGCTGCGGGGTCGACATCCTCACCGGCGGCGTCGGTCAGGGACTTGCGCGTGAGGTACTGGATGCCTTCGGTGGTGGGGGGTGTTCCACGTAGGCGTGGACGAGGGTCTTGTAGGGGGCGGTCTCGGTGCCGGTGGCGGGGGACTCGTCTTTACCGACGTCTTCGTCGATGTAGATGGTGGTTGACGCCATGGCGTTGTGGTCTGGTCCTTGCAGTTGCGGGAGAGCTCTGTGGGAGAGATAATTAATATAGGTCTAATCTGTGAGTCATACCCCGGGGTGAAAGAATCCCGAGACGCAGGACGGATTAGAATGTGAAAGCAAACGCACCTGATAACGCAAAGAATGGAACTCTTATCTCTTCCCAATTGCAAGTTGTCCAAGGGAGGAATCGCACATTGCGGAGGGGTAAATTTCCGATAGATGCGGGATCCCCACTGATGCCTGAGGCAGTGATCTCAGATCTGTATATCTCGGGTGTCTTTCGGGGTGTACAACTATTAGATATGAAGTATAGATGTTAGGATTCAATCTGATTATTGAGGATGAAGCTGTAAAGTCATGAAGTATAATGACGACATTGCTTTAAATAATTGTCTACTTCAATTTCAGATCATCAAGATATCAGCAACCCACAGAATAGTTATGGAAACTCTTTGCCTGATATTAGCTCAACGTGAGGAACGTCTCCTTCAATAGATCCAAGAGTTGACTGGAGAAGAGACTACACCACTGGAAAAGACAAGGCTACAAAAGTTTCAAGGACAGTTAGGGGTTCTAAGAAAGAGCAATTGGACTCTCCAACGTAACTGGTTGATACTCAGTGACCAATTTAAAGGCCAACTCTATAAGGGTTTATTGAGTGCCGATCAAGCTCAAGATAAAAGGCCATAGATGGCTGTTTCGTTTCAGAATAGGAAAATGCACCTTTGCTGCGTGGGCTAAATATGTGAATAGTACGGAGTATAGATTTGCCCTCGGAATTTCTTCGGCATCGATAAGCTAGGGATGTTGAGGCCTTGATGCCTGAATTGGCCCGGCAAAAAAAACAGCTTAGTAATCTGCCGGCCTGAGGCAAAATGAGGCTTTTGGCACCATACAAATTCATACATCGTAATTTTCTAGGTGGTTTGCACTCTCTCTGTCATGTACGAAAACAATTAAGTAGATTTAAATGAACCAATCG